CTCTTCACGCGCTACCTGTCGGAATGCAAGGTACCCACCTCGTGGAAAACCAGCAAGACTGTGTTGCTGTACAAGAAGGGAGACCTGTACGACATTGGCAATTATCGCCCAATCTGCCTGCTGTCTGTAGTCTACAAACTCTTCACACGAGTCATCCTGAACAGGATTGGCAGAACACTAGACGAAGGACAGCCATGCGAGCAAGCAGGGTTTCGAAGAGGATTCACATCCACACGGTAACGAAGCTCATTGAAGTATCGCGAGAGTACAAGATGCCGTTATGTCTCACGTTCATCGACTTGAAGAAAGCCTTCGACTCCGTTGAGACAGAAGCGGTTATCGAAGCCCTGGGCAACCAGGGTATTCCTACTCAGTACATCAGGATTCTTCGTGAGCTCTACAGCAACTTCACGACCAAGATCTCACCATTCTACAAGGAGATCATCATCGATGTGAAGAGAGGGGTCCGACAGGGCGACACCATCTCGCCCAAGCTCTTCAGCGCCTCTCTCGAGAACGTCATGCGTCAACTGGAATGGGAAGACATGGGAGTGAAGATCGACGGTCGGCAACTACACCATCTCCGCTTTGCTGACGACATCGTTTTGATAACACCAAACATCGAGCAAGCGGAACGAATGCTGGCTGAATTCGACTGCGCGTGTGGAAAAATCGGTCTACGGCTGAATCTAACGAAGACGATGTTCATGAGAAACGGATTGGTATCTGATGCCCCATTCACGCTCAACGGAACGACCATCTCTGAATGCTCTAGCTATGTGTACCTAGGTCGTGAAATCAATATGATGAATGACTTAGCTCCAGAGCTGAGCAGGAGGAAGCGAGCGGCTTGGGGAGCCTTCAAGAACATCGAGGGAGTAGCGAAGAAGACGAAGAACACCAAGCTCCGTGCCCACCTCTTCGATTCCGCGGTCCTTCCTGCCTTGACGTACGCCTCAGAGACTTGGACTCTACGAAAGCAGGATGAGCATGCGGTCGGCGTTATTCAACGCGCCATCGAAAGGGCGATGCTCGGAGTTTCCCGCTACACGCAAGTGAGAGAGGGAATCCGGAGCTCCGCACTCCGCCGACGATCGAAGATCAGAGACGCCGCCGCATTTGCCAAGGTTTCGAAGATCAGGTGGGCCGGACACGTCATGCGTTTCGAGGACGACCGCTGGACCAGAGCAGTCACCGACTGGATTCCACGGGATGTCAAGCGAACGCCTGGACGACCGCCTATGCGATGGTCAGACTTCTTCGTGAAAGCTCTGAACGAATGGTATGAAGTTCATCGTGTCCCTCGAGCAGAGAGAGTTCATTGGGCAACTCTTGCACGTTGGACGAATGGAGACGTTACTGGTACCCGCTCGAGGAACTCGATGATCAATTGGAGCACAAGTGATATAGGTGATACTCCGTGTAATTAATACCAATTCTTCCGTTATGCCAGTTCTGTTCTGCGAATACGACATCAATTGAACATTTCACTTGAAACTTTTTGTATTGTGAGGCGGTTCAGTCCAAAATTGCCTCCACCGTTTTACCTGCCAACTTTCCATCGCCAGTATTTAGCTCTTCAGTGTTCCGTGGAAGCGTGGCAAGACAAGAATAGCCCTGTGGGAGAGCCGAAGTCAGTTTGGATGTCTTACGCTGTCATATGTGGTCTGACGCCGACAAGAAGGCTCGGCAGGCAACACAGAAGGGTGTAATTGAGGGAAACAAGACGCAACTAAACCACCGACGTCACTCGTTGGGAGTTTACAGTCTTCAGATATAAACGCTTTCTAACTTGGGACTTTTAAATAACAGTGATAAGAACAAGAAGGATATAACGAAAAAGAACAACTTACTTGGTGTAATCTTGTTTCCTTTTTCTTCGCCTTCGTGGCTGTCTGAAAGCAAAGGCTCTCTATTGCAGGCAGATAATGCACTCTCTCCGAAGAAGGTCCTTTAAGGGCAGGATGAATAGGTCCGCAGCTGCGGTAGTATGCTGGATTTTTTAGGTCCAGTGCAAGGAAGCGGAGCTGGAGAGTGTTGGTACCCGGGCGCCGCCTCCAGACTCCGCCCGCTTTATCCCTTACATGTAGTCTTGCGTCGACAAAGATGCTGTAGCGGCGTAAGCCCTAAGCGATGGAACGGCACAGCCTTGTTTGCTGCACTTCGAGTGAAGAACGATACACGCTGTTTCAACTGCGGACCCATTCACTTCATGCATGACAAGTGCCAGGATCCACGGGGGTGTGTGTGCAGCTTGTTATCGAAAATTTGCGCTGTGTTCCTCCGCTCCCACTATCTTCAACATCTTCAAGCGTCTGTGACAGGATTGCCATCGCTCTAAGACAGTTTCAGCTGAGA